TTAATCGGCAGCTACTTTGTCTAAACAAGCTAAACAAACAATTACTGATTTTGGACAGTCTTAGATAGCTAACATTTTTTTCGTATTTTCAACCGGTATACGGCGTTTTGCAACGGCTTTCTGAGAATTTTTATGCATATTTAATCAAAGAGAAAAGGAGAAAAAGTGCGCGTTTTTGCGCACCAAAAAGTAAAAATCATCGTAAAAATATTTAAATGGGGATCAAGCTTTATTCCAAAAGCATCCTCAAGCATATCCAATCAAACTTACCTTGCAGACATCGTAGTTTGCAGTCGTCTTGTCAAAGAGTATGTACAAGTCGTTCAGGAGGTGAACATACTGCAATGGTGTGGACAATGCAGAGGTGGTCGCGAATCCAACAATATCTCTAATGTAGATTGACATCTTATTCCAGGTTTCGGGTGCCACTGCAACACCTGCCTGTACCCCTTTCACAACAACTCTGGAATTACAGATTAAGATCAACTTCTATCTCAGAAATATATCAGAGCTTAAACTTGCCTGACCATTTACAAATGTGATAAATGAAACTATAGGATGCTAGAAGTCACGAAAAGCTTTAATCTGTTTGGCGGAAAATCGAGTTGTCAGGAGCCTCATAGAGGCAGCATACGACAGCTGAGATTCCCTTTCTTCCTCCTCTCTCTCTGCAGTTCCCTCTTTCGAGCACTTATCAGCTCTTCCGACCGAGTTGGGTCGTTCTCCATCATGTTGAACATGTGCTCTACGGTGTTCGATCCTCCTGCAAAAACAGAGAAAAAATAAAAAATCTCGCGAACCAGTTTTTTCCTAATTATTTGTTAGTCCTCTTCATTTAGCTCCTGAAATGTTGATGTTGATTTTCCAACCAAGCCCGTCGAAGAATGCCCCCATTAGCCAGTGCGGCGCTTGTTTCAAGAAGCTCAATCTGGAAAGCGAATGAAAGAAACTGGATACTTTGCCATAAAGGGGGCTTAAATCAAGGCTGGATTATACGAGTCCGTTTAAGTGTTTGCAATTATGCTTTTGCGTTTGGGGTGCAGAGCTCTAGTTACGTCACTAAGGTCACTTGTTTCTCAGTTTCTTCGATTATTCTACGATGTGTTGATGATTTGCGTGCTCGTTATGAAATGCTTTTAGCATTTTCCCCCAAAATACTTTAGTTGTCAGGTTTAACCCACCAGAGATTGCAGATAGAATTCACTAAGTGCCATCCTTGAATTTGACATGAATAATGCTGAATTACTAGGTATATCTGGCTGCTTAGTGTAAAGCTTATAATTATCGCCGTTTGTTCTACCTTCACAATGCTATCAAGTCGACTTGGCACAATTTTATGATAATGTGAAATAATTACCTGTAGACTGCAATAGCTTCCAGTCCACATTGGTTTGTCTGGCAGAAGACTTTATGCATTGTTATGGCGAATGCATAGATATCTCCTGACTTGGTTCCAAAAAAACTGCTATCTC